CCCTCGAGTGATGACAATTTGCACGTACCTATTAAGAAGTTGATTTTGGTGAATTATAATAATACAGGAGAACCAGAAACTTTATGAAACATTGGTCCATTGTCCAGGGACTTACTATCCGGCAGAAGTGCTGAGGTGAACGATTTTGTGTGGCAGTGCCGCCCACCCCCACAAACCAACACTTGGGCACCCATTTTGCGTCAAACAAAATCAATTTTTCTTTTCTAACCAGAATAAACCACCTAGTTTCAATTATATAATACTTATAAATAATAACTGAATGCTAATAGGGGGTTCTACTAACAAGAACACTAAGGGGTGCACACCAAACCCATCTTCTTGACGTTGCTTTGGAGCACAGGCGACCTCAGCCTAGCAGAGAACCCTCTATAGAGTGATAATTTTAATATTTTTAAGCTTATAGGACATTATGACAGATAGCGAGGCTATTCATGGACACCCCCACCCCAAGAAACCTACACGGAAGCAGACCGGTACAACCCGTACCATGACGACGTCGTAGAAATCTCCCCAAGTAGCTAAACAGAAAAGAACCGCGACGCAACCGCACGCTTTAAACTAAGCGTCCAAATGAGACCATCGTTGATCGTCCCATATTCCTTTTCCCCACTGTTTTACCCGCCTAAATTGTGTCCAGTAGGAGCACAGTATGTGTAGGTAGACGTGTACTGCTTCAAAACTTCAATATATAACATTTTATTCACTCTCAATAAATAAACACTGCACGAAAAACCACGTGGGACATTTAAAACCATGAACAAGGCACATCATCAGCCTATACAACAACAAACAACCGTGGGGGGCACCCTTGGAATGAATAAATTAAACAAAAAAAATGCACAAGTGGGCATTGAGTCAAGTTTGCTGTCCACACTGGGACGCCCAGCAATAGATGATGAGGATGGACAAGCAATTGCCACGGTGCCATGCCTACAACTCGGTCTTCTTCTTCTTTCCGTCACGTGAATAGCCCTTGAGACCATCAGTGGAATGCTTGGCGATGAATGAAATGAAGTCCTTCACTTCACGGCCACCATTGTAAGGCACTGGAGAATCCTTGCTGTTCTTCGGTAACCAGTAGATGGTTGGGAATCTGCAATAATGTCATGAGGTTTTTGCATTCCCTTCCCTTATACCTTTAAAGGCAGTGAGCACGATGGTTGTGGACGAGAGGTTGTTGTCAACGTCATTGTGGAACGGCCTCTCGTAGTCCTTCCACCAATGACGTTGGCGACAACCGCCCGCCCAGCAATCGTGGCCGCTGCCTTTGGGAAAAACTTTCAAGCTTACCCTCGCACGGTTCCCAAAAAAAAGGAAAGAAGGGGGGGTTGGGGAGAGGTGGTACATCGTTTGCTGTCGCGTCGAGCTTTACGATCAGAACGTCTTCCTTCTCCAACTGAAAACAAATAGGCTCAGAAGGCAGCAGTTCCGACTTGGCTTTAAGGAATTTACCGTTTTGGCGAGCTCTTCATATTTGGGTGCAAGTGCCTTTAACAGTGGACCGCACACGGTGCATAGAACTCAATAAGGACATCCTTATCGGCATCCATCACCAATTCCTTGAAGTTTCTGCCAACAGCAACCTAAATTTCACACATAATTTCATGAATACATCACTTGCTCATCAATGCAAGAGCTTAAACAACCTTGACTGGTTTATCGTTATCCTCAGGAATAGGTTCTGACTTCATGTATGGATCCATATTACCAGCTAATAGGTCCTCGACAAACTTCTTGAGATTCTCCACGCTGAAAAATCAATCACATGAATTTACCAAGCTTAGGAATTATAAGAATATATCAACTGCCTGGGAATTCTAGAAATCATACCTGAACTCATCATCCATAGGGAATTTGCCTTCATTTGTAATAGCCGCCACGATTGGTTTATCCGAGTCCTTACGCTCAGCAAGACCATTCTGATCAACTTCGGATGAGAACTCCTCCTTATTTGACACAGCGAAATGAACTTTCCTCTTGTAGTCCTGCGCTACCTTCAGCACGCGATTACGCCAGTAGTTCGACCCTAAAACGCTCCACTTCGAACAGTTCAATGATTAAACGTCTCACTACAAGTAGTCCAAACGAATGCGCACCTTTGGGGTCCTTCAGATAATCCACATTGTAGTAAACGATCACAAGAGGCTTCTGCTCGAATTGGAACAGATTACCCATCGTACGAATACCAACCATTCCAACAGTATCGTGAATGAGGAAACTCTTGATCTTATCCGTGTCGTAATTGCCATCGTACTTGAATTCATTGGGGTCAAACTTGTTGTGCAGTTTCTTTGGCGTGTAGACCACAATATCGCTTAAAAGTATCCGGATTGTGATTTGCAAATGAAGACATCTGCCACCTTTTAAACTAAGTGATTACATGCAGTTCAAGAGTGTGTCAGACTTGACATTGGTTTGTTGTTTTTTTAACATGCCAGTTCTTTTATCCACTCATGAGTAGTATCTCATGTGATAAATTTAAGGATCTTCTTTGTCATGTAGTATGTTCTCATTCTAAGCAACTGATACTCAGGAGCACAGACAGTAAATTTCCAATCTGAAAGTCGCCTCTAAGAGGACCTTGTTAGGCTTGGTGTATTGGCAGCGAAAGAAGAGATCGTTCACATGGAGATAAACATTTGGTGTTAAACTGCTGAGAGCTCTGACGTCTCTTTGTGAGCACTATGCATTGCTCCTATATGCGTCTGTCCTTCTCTATGACACCGAGGAGCATCACTCACGTCGACGAAAAATGAATGCAGCATGTGTGCTACTCATGTAGGTTGAATTCCACTGCATAACGACGGGTTCCCATGGTCCAACTAGTAGCCTACTGGTGCAGTACAAAAACTGAATAGCACAGAATACAAAGGTCTTCCTCCACAGCGACCGTTGGTAAGCCAAAACTGCCACGATGGAAGACGCCATTTCGAGCCGTGGTCATCTCCTCAACAGCACCCGCTTATGTCGCTTTCCAACATCTCCTTCCTTCACAGTCTTTTTCACCATGGAACGCTACATCCAAACTGGTGGTCTTCTGCATGGCGTATATCCTAGATCCCTGTTGTTCAGCAGAACGAGTGAATCAGTTAATCACGTATACTGTGCTCCATGCAGTGCTCTCCGGTGAAAAGTTGCGAGGTAACGCCGACAACGCCGGCAACCCTGTTTCTATTGAAAAAAATGTGTACCTTTGTGCCTTGACCCACCCTGAGACTACAGAGCACGAATTCATGTAGAGCGTGCAGATGCATTGTTATGTTCCTTTCCTGTGTTTACCGACTGTAGCGATGCACCCAAAGAAGCTGGAGCGGTGAATACAGGTGTGGCTCATTACAACTGCGTGACCTATCCCAAGCAGACCTCTCAGGTTGCTGCACCTAACACATATTACGGCCGGCCTCCATTATGAAAGTGGCGAGCACTGTCCAGAGTACATCCGTTTAGCCTGTGAACTAGCCTATCCTCGGTTTCGGTAGGTGTATACGTCCCCAAGAGGCGCTCATCTGCGTGGCTCGACGCTTGAAAATCAGCCGAAGGATATATCAGTTGCAATAGTTCACATGTACGACAGACCACATCCAGATAACTGCAGTCCTGCACCACTGTATGAATTGTTTTGGGAATATTATAGTGTTACTGTGAGAAGCAGATTAACGTTGAAGTGTGGTAGCAGATTTCTCTGCCCAAAGGTGAGTCCTCCGCACAGACGACGATCCAGTGGGAACGTTGGCTTTTATTATATTCTGTGTGTATTGTGCGTTCGTGTTGTATATTTAATTAATATTGTTCTTTTGCAGATGCTGTTTGTATTTGTTGCACGCACTTAAATCAGATGATCAGAACTCTTAGTATATGTGACAAGCTATGTGTAAGCTTGGACAATTTTCCACATTTTAGCGTCGTGTGAATGTCTGCATTCCCAAGCAACATATCCGGTCCAGCTGTGTGAAATTCCGTTCTTTTCCAATACTGTTTACTTATAATTGTTTTCATTATGTAATGTGTTTTACGTTAAACACGTGTGGTTATTGCGCTTTTACAAGCGCTTATGGAAGGCATGCTAATTTACACTTCCACTTTGTGCTATCGTTGCAGCTTCCACCTCCATGAGGTAGGATAGAAACTTGTACTATTTTTTATAAAAAAAGGACTTACTCAGTGTATCCAGCCTCCTTGAGAACAGCTGCATTTGATGTATAACCAAACTGGAATCGATCTCTTTCGGTATCGGCGACTTTGAGGAAGGAATCCTTCAGCTTGCTTTCGTTCTCGAAGAAACCTGTATAAGCAGTATCTTCCTTTGGGAAACTTCACATCACCATAACCAAGCGGAGGAGCTCCGGATGAACTGACCAACAACGGCATTCTCGTCTCCTTCGACAAACTTCTTGAATTCCTCTACAGACTTGAGTTCCTTCGCAGATGGGCCTGCTTGTCCGCGCATGTACTTTATAATGCCCTCTGCATCACGAGGTCCATCATATGCCTGAGCTTCTAATCCATTACGGAAGATCTTCAATGTTGGGAATCCCTTCACGCCAAATTTGTCGCATGTGGCCTTCTCGACGGTACAGTCGACCTAAAACAGCTCAAAATAGTACGGACTACTGACATACCGAGTCCCTAACAGGTCAATGCAGCCACGAAAACAGTAATTTCCTCCCAAATAGTTCGTGAGTAATTAAAGCACTCAATGGACCGAAGCTATGTCACAAGGATACTGTATTATCCACAATTTATTCAAATCGCAGCTTTAGATTGTGGCGCTCGAATCGAACTACCTTGTAATTGTAACTACCCATGCCAATATACCTATGGTTGCGTTTGTTACGCACCATAGCTCAGAAATGGAAAGGAAAACATCATTTTAACATCAAATAGCTGTTTTTGTGATACCTCTATATGAGACAACCTTCATCCTGTACTGTACCTGTACTTTGCAGTGGAAATAGGATAAGATTACAATCGTTCTAAAAGGGCATTACCACACCAAAAACGTATCCGCGCCGTTCAAATGAGGCACACAGCCACGCCCCTTCACATCTTCGGGGTGTTGAGTGAATGCATTAGTGAGCGTCTTACCACTGAATGGAGCTACAAAAAAATCTCAATACTATCATCCGGACACGAAAGCGACTACCCCTCAGTATTTCACGCTGGCTCGATTTTTCAACAGAGTCAATCAATTTTCACTTTCAATGATTTTTCTTTGCGTCATAAGCTTCAAAAAGTTAATATGCTGCCTAAAGTTTGAGGAGTTGAATATCGAATTACGTCCCCCCTCGATGTACTATCCTACTCCTACACCTAACTCTAACTCTATATTCGAAACCTTTTCCACTTCAAACTTTCTCAAAACAACTGGTCCACTTAAAAACACTTATCTTGACCCTTCCAGCCCATGAACAAGAACTCGTCATAAGTTCACTTACATTTTAGTAGAGAAACTTGTTTCAGTTATTCATTAGATAAATGTCAAGTGCTAGCAACTCACCTTCACGAGGGTGATGGGAGGATCATTCGCCTTCAGTTTCGTCGCTGCTTTGTCGAACTCTGGGGCCATCTTTTTACAATGACCGCACCTATAATCAATAGTGACATATAGAATGAATAGAGCGGTTTGCCTTGTAATAAAAGATATTATTACAAAGACTCGACTATTATATTTTGCAATTTTTGGTTATAAAATATGATCCGTGATCGGTGCAAAGTCGTCCTAAATAAAAATTGCGAACACTGATCTAAACCAAATGTTGCACTACACCGATTAATCCAAAGGCTGAGATTTGAAATCAAACCCCGACATTGCAATACATGACGAGAATTAGATGATAGAACGGCAAGTGGGCGTTAATTACCACACCCACGTTACGGGATCAAATCTTGGATCGGCCGCCGCACGGGCCAACCAAACCTTCCGCCATATCGGGCTCACTTTATAAGCGCCGGACTTCTCCGTGAGGCTAACAACACTGAATTGTACGTAACCTGACATCTTGGAGACATCGCAAGCGCACCCAAAAGCCCCTGAAAATCAGAACGGCAGTCGAATGCGCGGCGCATCCCAAAAGACGCTTGAGAATGTTCAGAGCTTCTGTGTTTTTGATGATACATTTACAAAGCAATACCACCACACCAACTAGGGCACCTTTCCATCTACCAATAAGCAAGGCTCTGTGATCTACAAATACCAAATGCTCTGCATATTTGTAACACTTTTAAATTCTAGCTTCTGCACAGTTGATTTCGGTACAGTTAAATATACCAGCTTTCTCTAACTTTCAAGGGTGATCACAGGATCATTTATTCGGGTCCGCTCGAATTTTTCACCTGTTAACATTAAAAGGCCCAGAATACTAGCGCCTAGTGCGAGAACTCTGTTTAAGCGAACGAGGTCGAACAGACGACCTCATAATCATGATTGAAGTGGTTCACTTCCTCCTCCAATCATTAGGATGAATGCACCATCAGTAAGCCAATCAATATATGTGCAGAGTGGCAAGCCGGATTGGGTTACCAAAACGTATCGACCGTATTTACTTGGTGCGGCTACGTAAACACAATCCACCAAAATGACCGAACGGTAGTTACCATAAATGGTGCAACATCTGTGCAATCTCCAGCTATCCTAGCCTTGGCAAGCCTTTCTATACCGCAACCGACGATTACAGACTTCTGTAATGTTTACCATGGGTCATGAATGGAAATATGATGATAGCGAAGCCCGCTCACGATTAGATAAGGGGCGCCAAATCATGAAATTTCCAAGCACCAGAAAAATTACGCGAGTCTACAAATATTTGCAGTCAACGAACCATAAAACTATTAGAAAACCCTCTGCGCTTGGGAAAGAATGATGAAGCAACCGTTGTTAAAGCGGAATCGCGTCCGCACTAAATATCTAGTGGATTGGCGCAAGCTGACAGCGAGTGTTTGGATGTATGAGGAAAGGCTTTCAAGGTGAAATGAGCCCTGGTGTGCAGTTGTTGTAGATATAGGTCCCAGTGCCGTCTTTATTCTGTATTAAAACCATGTTACTACAATCCTACCCCAGCAATTTCGAGTACGTCGACCTGGGATGCGGCACTCCAGTGTTCTGTGCCATTTGGTCACACTGATTACCACATCAAACACATCCTTACACACCTGTCCAGGTACGTAACAGAAATGTGTGAATTAGAGGGAGGGGAAGGTGGTGAGGGAAAACTCCGCGAGAAGACGTAGTGATAAGGCAAATATTAAGTTCGCGTACAAGACAGCGGCAGAAGACTGGCAATAACACAAGTCCTTGCTACATTCTATCAGCGTGATAAGTAACTCTTGCCATTGACACTCGCATGCTACTATAGGCAGTTTCGCTAGAGGGACGACGGCCAGCTTTCCAGTTGTTCAGTCGGGCACTGAAGTAGCGCGGGGTTCAATAGCAGCCTATACGTCCTCACCCAAATTTATTTGCTCGCTTCTATCAGATCTGAATGATTTCATAGAACATTAGGTAATACTTATTTCTATGATAAATGACGTTGACGCTGATATATCCTATGCAATCACCAATGATTGCCTAGATCAGATGGTGGGATCAGATTACTGAGAAGATAAAATCTATATCAATCTCTTTCAGAGCAGGTGATTCCTCCAGTTCGTTTCTTGTGGGAATGTAGGAAGAGATGTTGCACAGCGACATCCTCTTTGTAACGACTCCAGGTTAATAGTTTCTGGTGTCACAATACGGACGGGATTAGACTGCGTTCATAGTGTGCGCCAGTTTTGGGCGTACGCCTGCGTTCTGAGCGACTAGGGAAGTATGGGCACCCATCGCGTGTTGTGTGCATGCCATTTACATCAGAGTGCATTACAACTTTACGTCAGAATTTTGAGCCACTAGGAAAGCATGGGTATCGATCTAGCTTTCTGAGCATAAGCCAGCGCTTCGCGAAGAATCACAAAAAGCGCTAGCGTACGCTTAAGACAGTGAGTCGATATCTATACTTTTCCGGTGGCTTAAGATGCAGACGTAAAGCATGAACGCACTCTGATCTACAATGGCGTGCCCTCAAGAACGCTAGATTTATACCAAACTTTCCTAGACGCTAAAAACGTTAGCGTACGCTCCAAGGGCTGACGCAAAACGTAAACACCCTCCGCGCATTCTTTCCCGCTCTCGACTTCCCATTTGCCTGTTTTACCACAACTTAAGAAGTCTGCAGCACCAGAGTTTTCCTGAGTTGACATTCAGAACGCAACTGCATCTGGAATAATGTGCACGCTGGACGTATCCCAGACAAACACTTCAAAACCCAATGCTACGCATTCTTTGTAGCCTCAGTTCTCATGGAAATCGATGAGAG